AAAATGTGAATATGAAAGTTAACGTTATTAATGTTCTCAATGGATTAAAAAGCCCAATAAAAATTATCAAATTATTCATTATGCTTTAATAGGTTAATTAAAAAAGTCCTATTTCTTTGAGAGAAAATTTCATCCAAATATTCGATAAAAACTTTAGCGATTCATTCATTTATCAATGCTTATTACCTATCGAAATTTCACATTTTATTTTTTTCACAAAATTTAGAAACTACAAAATGAAAATAAGTGTAACACAAATACGAGCCAGTTTCAAAAGAATGATGTATTATAATTGCAAAGAAAATATTTTATGTTTTAATTAAGCATTGATCCCAAAATTAATCAGTAATTAGCTCCCCGTCTTTTTTTTTCTTTGTTGAAAGTTTCATAGTTATAGCTTTAAGAAATTTAAAACAATCGTTTCATATAATAATTTCACGGTAACTGTATTCCTGCAGAAATTTTGTCGCATTTTCTTCGACTGCAGGCGAATCCCACAAGTGAATGTTTTAAAACATATTTTAACATAAAAAATATTAGGATTTGTCTACAAAATCCATTGAAACAGAACCCATACGAAAATGATGACATTGGCTTGTCAAAACTGAAGAATTGTTACGCACATGGCTGCGGCAGTTTGGCACATTCAGAAAATTTTGGTGACTTCTACAAGGTGATTGAGATAATACGTAAGTATTGGAAAAATAGGATTATAAAGATTTACAGTATGAGATCAAGCCCTGGCCGAGGTTTCGGCAGTTTACCAAATATAAATCCTTTCATATTATATCACGCTGCCATAATAATCAGCAAAGTAAGTAAACAAATTCTTAATTCCATAATCAAGATAGTAATTTATTGTAACAGCCATCAGAGCAAGTAGGCAAATTGCTAATTCTGTAATCAGTACAGTAATTTTACAGTGATATTAATTTTCGAGATTATTTTTGCAAATTTAAGGAATTTTTTTAGGTTACGTAAAAGTCGAATTTTTTGTTATTAAATACACTCCACAAAATTAACGGATAATAAATTCCTGTTCATATCAAAATTATAAGTTAGAAAACTATTATAAAATGTACCAAGTAATTGTTACATAAAATATAGCAGGCAAGTTTCAAAATAAAATAAACATGTAAATAAAAAAACGGCAACAGCAACATTCAAAAACAGTATATTATCATGACTAAAAACAGTTAATATATTATCATGACTACCTCGAATGGACATATGCAGTATTATATGCAGCATGCAGATCGCCATTCCATGCTTATAACTAGATTGTCTACCTGTTTTCTCGAAAAATGCTGGGCCAGTTTAACCAAAGAACGTCTATGTATATAATACATATATTTATTTTAGACAATACATTCAAAAACAGTATATTATCATGACTAAAAACAGTTAGCATATGACTAAAAACAGTTAACACATTATCATGACTACCTCGAATGGACATATGCAGTATGCAGATCGCCATTCCATGCTTATAACTAGATTGCCTATCTGTTTTCTCGAAAAATGCTGGGACAGTTTAACCAAAGAACGTCTATGTATATAATACATATATTTATTTTAGAGAATACATACACCAAAGAATATGTATTGTCTATCTATACAGTATACATATTCTTTGGTTTAACTACTGCATTATTAATGGTTACTCCTATAAGAGGGAAAAACGAGTTCCTAGAGATTCTAGGAGGGGACTGTGCAATGGGCTTCGTAAAGGAACGAACGAAAGGTCACGAATGTGCGCCCCTGAGTCGTAGCATGTCTGTTAGACTGAGATGCGATTGAACACATACTTGATGAGTTCGATGGGGCGAAGTGTTATTATCTTTTAGCCGGAAATCTGGTTCAAGAGCTTTTCGGAAAACAAAACATGGAGATGTAGAACTCTTATTTCTATACCTGAGGCATCATATGGAACCCATGTGATAGATGTACAGTTCCATGCAGCCATCACGACAATGCAACCGCACAGAACAAATCATTGCCATGTAAACTGCGTGTTTCATAAATATTTGATATATTGCTGCAAGTGCTTAGTTCTTGCCATACGAAACTTCATCGAGAATTAATATTTAGACTTAACTTACCTTAAAGATTATAACTATCTTTTCTCGCCTATTAAAATAATTTATGTCCATTTATTTGGCCTCCCGTGATATGGTCCAGGATGTTCGCAACACTGTCTAATAGAAGAAAGCCAAGACAATGTAGCAAGAAAAAGCTCTGACGTCACAGGTAGTCGTCTCACAGCAACCCTCCTCGAAGATGAAGCCATGAAGCCAGGACACAGGAATGTAACCTAACGAGTAGTCGCCCCAGTCGATATTCGGAAAGGGCAACGAAATAAAATAGGCTGTACGCTAGGACAACATTTCTTAACACCTCCTTTTGTTAGGATGTGGTGGTTAGTACTGTACCGTTAGGAAGTGTTGGTGTTCCGTCTTGAACGTTTCTCTGTGAAAGCAGGGATGAGGGGGTCGCAAAACATTCCCAAGCCGAATTATTTCAATCTATGGTACGCAGTAAATCTATTTATGTCTGTTTGGCCGCTGTGAACACCAAAATAATTTGCACTAACTGTTTCTACATGTTGTTAATCTGATTGACGTCGTAGTTGGTATCATTACTTTGACCTTCTCCCCAACGAACATTTTCTGTGTCAACAAATTGTTTCCAAAGTTGAGAAATAATACTCTGTAGAACGTTAATGCTGTGACAGAAATGTAGAACTAGGACTGACAGGCTTCTAATATTCCCGTCACTCGCCACTCAAGATTCCTTTAAGTGATGTTTTTATGACATATTCGACAAAACACTTTACATTAAGCAGATAATCTCTCAGCATAAGGAATAAAAGAAAGTTTGACCTCATCGATTTTAAGCCCGTCACCAGAATTTAAATTGCGATATGCCTTCTTATCAGCGATACGCGAGTTCCGTCACAAGTTTCTGACTTACTACACAGTCAAGGTTTGCATAAACAGTGCTTTTCATGACCTTTTAATTTAATAAGTATGTTTCTGTTATTAGATTTTTTTTTTTTTTTAGTTATCATTTAACAAGGGGTTAATTTTGCTTAACAGCGTAAATCGACAAATTTCAGATTTTTAGTTTTTATTTTAAAGTTTTTATCTTACACTAATTTTAGGGTACTTTTATTCATTAGGCTTAAAGAAAAAATACTATATTGCAAAGGAATCGTACTCCAAAATCAAAACGAGAACTTTGAACCTTAAATAATGGCTATCTAAGAGGAGGGATGCCTTCCTGAAGGGTTTTTCTAAGGGAAACTGGCTCATGTACACGTTACACATGGGAAAAACTACGAAAACGCCCATGAAGAGAGCCTGTTCGCGGGCTTTGAACTGAACTACTAGTGTTCAGCGACTTTACTACTCGGCCGCTGGTGGGCTTACCCCAGGAGCTGAATTATGAAAGAAAACCTGTGTACCGATAATGTAATGTACTGAAACTTTGTTCGCTCACACAGTTCTGATCCTGTTGATAATATAACTCGAATTTAACCTATGTGTCGATTTAAAATTACACTACAATGTATTGCGTATTTAGTTGCGTAGTTATTTACATTACTGCTTCGAATTCCTCCCCCACCTCGTACGAAATATTAACACAATTTCTTGGCTGTAAAATTTTAGAGAAATTTCAACTGCACTACCCTTCCGCTCCAAAATTACTATTCGATAGATAACAGTTGCCAGTCTTAAAAACAAGATCTAACGAACTGTTAAATTATAAATTCTGACATCTACTACTGATCTTACAAAAGAATATATATTTAGTTAATCTTACGAATTTCAACAGTATACCTTGTAATAAAACGAAAGTTTAAAAATAGTATAATGTTTTCTTTCTTGAATATATCTATTTGATATAGCAAATTAAAAGAAAATGAAAATAATAAACAGTAAGTTTTAATAAACTGGTAGCTCAATCACACGCCGAAAGCTACTGCATTTAATCGTAATAATTTAAAATTAAAGTAAAAATGAAAAGTAAATTCAAAAATTATATTCAGATGCAGTAAAATTGAAGAAATAAAAAAAAAAAGTTGTTAAAAACAGTGCAAACAATCACTGAATAAAATTCATATAAATGAAAAAAAGTTTAATCGTAGAATAATGTAGTATGGAGGAAAAAATTATATAACATTATTTAAAAATAAAAAAAATTCTCCCTTCATGCATTTTTCTTCCTATACCCTGCATTCTGTATGTGTAACGCGTATGACCCAGTTTACCTTAAAAAATCTTCCATCCCTCCCATTAGGCAGATAGCTTTACTATGCTTCGTCGTAATCAACTAAACTTCGAAACCTCAGCATTCTACATTCTTTTTCGCTTTAGCTCCGACCACATGGAGCGAGTATTATTTTGACTTATAATTAAAAAAAAAATTAACTAATTATTGTCTTATTCGTTTCTTTCCTTGTCGGGGATGGGCAGCTAACTCCTAGTTTAATTTGTTTCTCCTGATTAAAATTTTTCTACATATGTATTTGTTTATTTATTTATTATTATTATTGCCTTACGAATTGTATATAAGTTGGCTCAGAAAAAAAAAAATTTTTTTTTTACATGTTTCGGGATTCCAACCACCCTGATGAAAATATTACAGAAGATGCAAAATTTTTAAATTTTTATTATTTGTTTTTTAACTTTTCTTTCACGTATCATTTTTATGCAGTGATTCATTATATTGTTTTGAATGAATACTTTTTCCGTTTCTACTTTGTCGTATCTGAATATGATTTAAAAAAAATTAACTCAAATTTAAATTATTTGATATAGCATATATATTAACTGATAATTTTAATAAACATGTGCATCACTGATACACTAAATAAAAGTTATATTTATTATTGCAGTATATTTCTAATGCAGCATGTGAGGTACTCGGTTACAGAACAATTGCATTTGCATTAAAGTACCAGGACGTTAAGAAATTGCACTTATTATAATGCTTACCCTGAGAATATTCTGAGCAGCTGACTATATCTTGAGGAGAAAATACCACCTTGAGAGTATTATTCGTCATTATGCGAAGTCTTGATTCCAGCATCGCCAAAGATGAAAATGCATAGCAGCTTCCACATTCTCCTGCATAAATAGAGCAATAGTAATATCAAGCTATACTAATAAAATCAATTTTTAAGATTTTGAGTAGAGGTTGTCAAAATTCTATGACTAGTAACAATATTTTGATGCTTTGCATCTAATTATGTAATGTTCTTTTTCAGCATTTCAACAAATATAATATACTTAAAAATACCCTTTTTACTTCCTTATAAGAAGTATATTTCATACAAGGAAGGTAAATTTCAACGCATATCCATTTTGACCGCTATCGAATGCAATTTAACGCTGTTTTTGCGTGACAACTGTACGTAAGGACAGAATAAAAGACTCTTTTTTCCCCAAAAAAATTATAAAACTGATTTAAAATGAATTCTAAACAGAATTTTTCGTGGCGTCTGTGCGTACATACGTATGTACGTATGTATCTCACATAACTCAAAAACGAGTAGCCTCAGAACGTTGAAATTTTGTGTGTAGGACTGCTATAACATGTAGATGTGCACATCCTTTTTGGTTGCAACCGGCCGCACCAAAGTATATAAATAATTGAATATATATATTCACTCTGTTACTCGGCTCAGTGAGCTCAGTATTTTTATCCTTATATGTTGGTAAATTGTGGATTTTTTGCTTTAGAAAATGATTGAATTATGTTGTTCATATCTTTCGGTTAAGGTTTTTATGCCTTTAGTAAATCTGCAAGCAATATTTATACAATTATCAACAATTTAAAAGCTTTTTAAGTGCGGTTAAGCCTAATTTTTAAATAACATGGCGTACATGTTTGTTTACATTTGATACAGCAGAATAGTAGATTTTTTGTTAATCTAGAGAGATCGCAACAGCAAAGATAACGACTTCATTTATTATTGCGAATTAAATCAGGCTTAATCCATTCTGAAATTTATTCGAGGAAATAAGTGTTTCAGATTTAATTCGTAATTTGTAATATAGATATTTTGAGTTTTCATGCATTTTTGCCTTGTCGCGAAGTGAGAACTGAATTAATTGAGTGAAAAATACTGAATAGTCTGTGAAAAACTTTTTGTTGTTGTTGTTGTTGTCTCCTTAATTTCTTTTATACGTCGTTCTAGATTTATTATAGTATTTGAATAGAACATGTGGCAATGATTAGATAATCCTTCTAATGATATAAATTTTGCGCATTCTGAATTACAATATGAACGAAATATAACGCTGTTAAGTGAACCTTGCGCCAGAGTGTCGCTATGGTAAACAAATATAGTGAATTTTAAAGATTTCATTTATTCTATTGTAGTTTATGCGCTATCGACTAAGTACATTTAATTCAATCCAATAAGTTTAAATGAAATACAAGAAAAAATGCGTATAATTTAATATTCCGTACAAGGAAGTCATGTATTGTTCACATCAGTTTTTTTTTTTTTCTGTGGTAAGTTAAGAGATAAGGTATAAATTTAAAAAATCCATGCTACCTAAGTGAATCCATTATAGAGTGATGTAGTGAAGTAAACATATAATAAAAATGTTCGATAGAAGTAGAATAACGTGTTTAGAAGGAATCGAATAGAAAAGCAAAATAAATCTGGAACAATGTTTTTTTTCACGACATCAAATCACCGGACTGATGGATAGTCAGCAGACAAAGAGCAAGAAACTACAGCTTCCTACAAAGTACAAAGCATCAGTAGATTCAGTATATTACTTTCATCTAATTTAAACACGATTTTCATTTATGAATGTAAATTTTCATTAATTTATTTGAGTTAGGTTATTATGTTAAATCAACATTCTATGCTAAATGTGCTTAAACACATAGATTCAGAATATTCTTTTCATCTAATGTAAAATAATTAATGTTCTTAAATTCAAATAGTCTTTTCATTTAACGTAAAAAGCCCACCAGCGGCCGAGCGGTAAAGTCGCTGAACACTGGTAGTTGGTCCGAGGTTCGAATCCCGCGAACGGGCTGGCTGCATGGGAGTTTTCATGGTTTTCCCCATGTGTAACGTGTATACGAGCCAGTTTCCCTTAGAAAGTCCGCCACGAAGGCATCCCTCCTCTTAGGCAGATAGCCCTCGAGGCTTTGCCATACTCACAAACACACACACATTTAACGTAAAAAAAAAATTTAAAATACGATTTTCGTTCATGAATGTAAATTTTCATTAATCTATTTTCCAATGCATTTTCTTACGAACATAATCTTGACATACATATCTTTACGCAAGATAACGATTACCAATATACATACTGTGACAAATTTTGTATCCATGTAAATAATTTTAATGAAATTATATGTTAAACTGTAGCATCTTTTGTAAAATGTAATTTGAAGACGCAACGAAGCTCTGCCGGAAAAATAAGATTACAAGGACAAAGTACACTGCGAAAAAAAGGGGGTACAGTTCTATATCTCCCGCTCTATTTGGCCGATTGACACGAAATTCAACTTGCGTTTTTTATGTCTCGAAAGCGCGCCATAGGATATGTATTATATTTATATATAGTACTGTTCTAACATAGGTATTTTGACATAAAATCAGACTTTTTCTGAAATGACATGCCAATTTTTTTCCATATTTCGATTCTACGACTCAAATTACGCCAAACTACCAAGTTTTGTAAAAATCGCGCGAGTAGCTTTTAAAAAATTAGCTTTCAAAATTTTAGCTCCTCAATGTTAATTCAATTTGATATGTGGCCCACCAGCGGCCGAGCAGTAAAGTCGCTGAACACTGGGTAGTTCGCTACGAGGTTCGAATCCCGCGAACGGGCTGGCTGCATGGAGGTTTTCGTGGTTTTCCCCATGTGTAACGTGTATACGAGTCAGTTTTCCTTAGAAAGTCCTCCACGAAGGCATCCCGTCCCTTAGGAAGATAGCCCTAGTGTGTTTTGCCATAATTAAATAAACCAAACCAATTTGATATGTATTTATTAATATCTCTTTTTTATTAATTTTATTTGATTCTTTCTTACACATTTCGAAATTTAGGTTCATTCCAAATAAAATTCACCCATTTTTTAAGATTTATTTTTAAAATTAGTATTTTTAAATAATTTTTTCTAAATTTTTCAAAAAAAAATTGTATTATAAGCTATAAAATTTTACAATCATCTTAAAGTAGATGTATTTCTAAGCATTACTGCAAAAAATTAGAGCTTTTTATTCAAAATTTCTGAAGATATACGTGAATTTATATATTGGCTCATTTTGAAATTTGGCATATTTGTTGAAAGCGATAATAGCGAAAATGTGGTTTATGCACTTTGTTAAAATTATTTGAAAGTGGGAACGGTGTGACTTTTTCTCCGTTCCGGCATAATGGAAGGGAAAGGAATATAGGTTGCCATATATTAAGAAGTTCGCCATGTGAATTATTCTTAGCGCAAACTGAAAAAATTCCGCCAAGATAAATTTTTGAATTTCTTCATAAATTTCCCACCAAATTTCACATAATTTAATATCTAATAATGAGTCGTAGAATCGAAATATATATATATATATATATATATAAGGTATGTTATTTCAGAAAAAATCCGATTTTGTGTTAAAATACCTATGTTAGAACAATGCTATATATAAATCTAATACATATCCTAAGTTGCGTTTTCGAGACATGAAAGACGCAAGTTGAATTTTGTCAATCTTCCCAGTAGAACGGGAGATATAGAACTGTTCCTTTTTTTTTTTTTTTCCCGCAGTGTACCATTGAGTTAAATGAATATCTCTCTAAACTGGCGAGAAATCACCAAAAGTAGCCATACTTGGCGAAAGGTTTGGTCCGGTCTCTGTATATCTGTAATTGATACTTTTATGTAACTGTAATCGTATCTGTCCTTATATGTAACTTTAACCGTATATGTCTTCCAGTAATTTCGAGAAATGGAAGGTAGTAGGGATTTACCAGTGGCCGGGGAAAAGCTATATAAGACCAGAGAGACCATCAATTCTTAGTTTTTAGTAGTTCAGAGCTGACTTCGAAGTACTGACACTCTCTGAATGCTCTTTGCATTGGGTTATATTTAACGTTATTAGTAGGAAGTGGTAACTGCTCGTTGTTGCTCTGTCCTACTGTAAACAGCTGTGCCAGTATTTTTGTGGACTGTGCATTCAATCCATTAATAACCCGTACACAGTAAACAATACCTTTACATAACATAAATATTACCAATATCCATATACATTGGTTATCATAAATTAAGGAAAAATCACAAAAATAGCGATAACTCCTTCAAAAATAAGCCAAACCGTGTAAAATTTGAATATGTTGCCAAGTAAGAGTAGCTGAGTAAAACTGCGATATGCAAATTAGTGGCGCTGCTTTCGGAATACATATGCCGGGGCAATAGGTGATGCTTTCTTGTTACAGGACGACAACGGAAGACCACACAGGGCTCGCATCGTAGATGATTATCTTCAACAGGAAACAAATATGCGCATGGAGTGGCCAGCTCGATCCCCGGACTTGAATCCTATCGAGCACGTTTGAGATGCTTTAGGGAGACGTCTAGCTGCTCTCAATCCGCCCCCTTAGACCCTTGTCTCGCTTGCAACTGCTTTGCAAGAGCAATGGCTCTCGCTTCCTATGGAACTGATAGACCGCATAATTGAAAGCATCACACATCGCTGTATGTGCTGTATTGCTTCCAGAAGCGATCATATTCCATATTGAAGGTACTTTTTTCTATAGCAAACTGACACCTTCGATTTGTTAATTTTATACATGTGCTAATTTCTATACTACCATATTTGTCTGGTAATTTCTTTTTATGTTATTTGATACCTTACTATGTGTTGTATATTGTGGGTAAATTTCATTAAGTTCTACATGTATCATTTTCAGTAATCGTGATTTTTGTGATTTTTCCTTAATTTATGATAACCAGTGTATTTGCAGAAGAAACCAAAGAAAGAAGTAGTAAGATATTTTACTAAAATCTACGCTGCATTTTCAAATATTTGAACTTTCTTGAAATCCGGATTCAGAAGTTTCTTCATAAAATATCCTCATCATAACACTTAATATTTCTTACTTATTTAATAAAGTATAACACATTTTCAGTAAAAACATTTCGCACAAATAATGTTCAAGTTCTCGCCGCCCAGTCGGTATGGTGGTCAGGGAAGCTGACTGCGATGCCGAAGGGCCTGGGTTCGAATCCCGGAGAAGGCATGGTTGTAACTGTTCGTCCCTTCATAGGAAAGGCGATAGTGGCCCACCTATTAGGTGCCTCCATAATAAAGAGACCACCACATCCGGCCTTGTATAGATTAACGGACTGGGTTACATTTGTAATTGTTTACAATCTGCCATTGGAAAAAAAATCAAGTTTTCATAATTACAGATGTAAATGTATATCATACAAGCTTAATATTAAGAGCTAAATTAGAAATAATCATCATTAAATGTAGAGTATTAGAACATTTACTGTTATTTACAAATTAGTTGAATCAGACGAATTTTGCCTGTTTTTTTGATGAAATGTAAAATCTTGTGATGCATTAGTATGAAACTTGAAAAACAAATCATTTCCTATAAGCAATGTAAAGTAAAAATGAGTAGTCTTATGATACCTAATTAGGCCTTAGGAAGTAAGAGTAAGGTAAAGAGATATTTACCTAAAACCTAATAAGAAACAGTCGATAGCTAAATAAATAATGCATTTCAATTTAAGTAAACATTTTTTATTAAAATATGTACTTACTAAAATAACCTTCACAAATTTTCTATTTGGTCTCGTAAATGTAAAAATGAAATATTCTTAGTCATCTTTGTCATAAATAAAACTGCAAGTGACCACGTAACGTTTTTGAGCAAGTGTTCTAAAGTTTATTGACAATATTACTTTGTTAGTTTATTAATAGCTTTTTCGCGAGCTTTTCGATCGTCTGCATTATGCAGGGGTGACGGCGCTGGCTTTGAATGATCGATTGAACATCCTTCACAGATGAATATCTTATGCAAGACTGGTTAAATACTCCGCGTACATCGCGTTGTTAATAATCTGCATACATTGCTCGTACAGTTAAATGTTCCGTCTGCTGGATCTCGGTCGCCGTTCTCTTATCTCTGGCGGTAAGATACTATTTTGGAATAGAGCAGTTTGGATAGTCTGCCTTATTTCACTGTATAAATCTAAAAGTTTACTGGTTTGACATGAATGTAATTCAAAATCATCTGACAAGAGGTGCAAACGCAGCAGGTGCTTTAAAAAATTTCCTGAAGAACATATTGTGCATTTGCGCAAAATACCGCCAACTGATTGTTAGCTATGAAGGATTTTTACGAATACTTGAAATTAAAGATATGTAATTTGTTAATGAAATCATACCACATCGCAGGGCTCCTAGTCACACCGTCAACGGAAGATTCGCAGTTGAAATTATTCTTTTCTGAAAAATTCTGTGTATGAATTCGAACGTTATAATTCTTACTTACAATGATGGAAAGGCGACACGTCCGTTCCAACGACCAACAATTGATCACCTCATCATGATCTTGTGATGACTGGGCCATTTGTCCTAGGGTATCTCGAGTACCCTAAACGTGCTTTTTTGTGCGGAAAAGTCATATTTTTCATACACGGTCTTGGGGTTAGGAAGTTGATTTTACTATCGTAATAACCGAAGTCCGTTTCATCAGACGAACGCTTTTTTCTAAACGTGAGCCTTATTCCAGTAGTCTTCATTTCGGGCTAGGACGGGATACCGTATTTCCAGGTTTTATTTGCTGGGGTTTCTTCACTAAATTCGATCCGTGTTCCAGACTCAGAATGTAAGTCATATAATTTCTCTCGTAAGATGCATCACTTGCGTCGTACCATAACTCAGTGTGCGAATACAGCAGGAAAGGTCCAGGCAGCTCGTCATTCTGTGTGCGGAGGTGTTGGCTTCTCCGTCAGATTATTTATTGAGCAGAATGTAATCAATATATTTTTCGTGGGTGAGTGCTTCTGCTTCACTTTTCATTTGTTGCAGCGTAGGAGTCCAGGGCTGGGCGGCGACCGCCGTCTTCGAAAAACAGTAGATGAGTCCATTATCCTCTCCGAATGCTTTATCCTCCTCGCAGAATCGAGCTGGAATTATAATGCCACTCGTAAATATTCAGTTTCTAAGGGCTAAAAGGAATAAGTACACTATTCCATAAAGACGGAATATGTCTTTTTTTTTTTTTTTTTTTCTCTCCATGAAAATCTTTAAAATAGGAACAGCATTAACTGATCGTCAAATATGTTTTAGTCATCATGAGTAAGTAATAAGCAAGTAAGAGTATAAAGTTACTAATTTGAAGCACAATCGTATAAAATTTGCCATGATGCGAGAAATCTACACTTCTTCACCCGCGAAGAAACTTTTTATCAGACTCTATTAATTTCTAGGTTTTATTTTTTTGGACGATTTTTTGTTAAGACAAGGGCTTTAGGAATAGTCAAACTTTGATTGTGCATTTGTCACTGTTAGTTATCTACCTGATTAGATCTTTCACCGTGATTTAACTTCGCGGTGAAAGAATAGGATATTACGCTTATAACATCATTTCACCATGATGTTATATTTTACTAGCTTATACTCTCTCTCTTTCATATATTATTTGTTTGGTTTTAAGGTTTTGAAAGATTTATACTGCTTCCAGCAGAGAATATTTTTTAATTATGTTCCATGAAAGTATTTTATTTGGTAATTAAAAGTTTAACACTTGTTGTTATTTAGACAGTTTCATGAGTACTTCAACAAGATGAGCAAACGATATCTTGACGAAAGCTGTGGATATTCACACTCATTGTTCCATCAACGGGATGACAGATGTTATCGCTTCACACTTACAGCTTTAATTCATTATAAAAATAACTCTTTTCAAACATTTCTTGCATTTTTTTTTTCGAAAATAGAAGCACTTCATATACGTAAACTATTACATTGAATCAATTTAATTTTATACTCACATTATCATTTTTCACTATTCAAAACTACTTTAAGTACAATGTTCGATGTTTATACGAATGTTCATAGCCATAAGTTTTTCACAAAAGTGCACTTACACAAAGCTGACTAGAAGAAAAGCTCAATAATTTATATAATATGCAGGAACACAAATCATAATTTTCTAGAATTACTTAAAAACACATTAAATTATTGAAAAAAAACCAATCATATGTTATATAATCACATGTAAATTTCGTACATTCAACAAATTTCTGAAAACGCATTTTAATTTTATTCAAGACTTTTATACAGGAAAATAGTAAAATGCAGATTGGCTTTTGATTTAATTTGTTACTCAAGTTTTACAGTAACGCACTGCGAGATTTTACATTTTATCAAAAAACGGGCAAAGTTTTACTGTTTCTACTGATCATTTGTATATAGCAGAAAATGTTCTAATAAGCTACACTGAATCATTTGTATATAGCAGAAAATGTTCTAATAAGCTACACTCAATTATTTGTATATAGCAGAAAATGTTCTAATAAGCTACACTGAATCATTGTTATTTCATATTTAGGTCTTAATATTGTGTTAAGAAAATAAGATGGATATGCAAATTTCACACTGAATAAATAAATTCTCATGTAAAAACTTTTCCAAGTGAGGTTTCTGTTGTCATTTAAAAATGAATGTTAAGCTTCTGTATAAAAGTCTAACACTTAAAACTTTATCTTGATGAATATTAAAAATTTGTTTTTAAATTTTATATTTATGTTTGGTACTATTTCAATTATTAAAAAAGGTTATCTAAAACTGCGATTTATGTAAGGAAATATTCCTTTGTTTCATTGTACTAGCCTATTCTCTCACTCTCATATACCATTTGCTTGGCTTTAAACGCTTTGAAAGGCTTATACTGCTTCTGGCAGAGAACCTTTTTTGAAATATGCTTCATGATGGAATTACATGAGGTAATTATCATGCTTCAGATGTGAAAAAAGACAAAGTAAAAGCAGCAATCATCAAGTTCTATTTATTTACTCAATAATTGAACAAGGCGAGTAGATGAGAAAGACGATTATAGAACTGAACGTGCAACACTGCGTATAAATAGAGAATATTAGTAAAGACGTTCGTATAGTGTTCTATGGTGCAAACTTTCAAAGTTTCATTAATATTTTGTATTGATGGAAAAAAAAAGCAGCAGCTAAAAAAGGGTAAAGGAAAAAGTATGCTTATCGTCATCGTTATAATACTGCGTTAACGTTTCGGTGAACAAATGACAAGATCAGGATAAGATTGTGAAGCTCCTGAAAGATGATGCTTTTATTTATAACAACTTATAAGGAATGTGTGAAATTCAGTGAATAAGAACTTGAATTAAGTATTCCGTACCTTGATTTCTCACAGGAGACACGAAATTAATACCGTTCACATTACGCCAGTCGAACTCCGCCGGCAGTTGAGATAGACTTTTATCTAGTTTTTGATTTTCTTGAAATGGTGGTGGTGGACTGAAATGATAAAAAGGAAAAGAATAATGTGACTGAAGTTTAGTTTCATACGTTAAGAAATTACCTAATGAGTAAATGGGCTTAAAATTCGGAATTATTGAATGGACTCAGTTAGCCTTTAGAAGTACGCTTTGCTACTCTTTCCCGGATAATTTAGAATGTTACCACGCAGTGCATTTAGTATCTCCCGTACCTAAAACTTTCATAATCAACAGCTGGCACAATGCTTAATCATCAACTTTTATGTAGAAATTATAAATACTTATTTCATCCATTTTTCTCAATTCTCAGCGTTCGCATTTCCCATAAAGGAAAGATTTAATTTATAGAGATGGCTGTGAACTGTTTGCAATCTTCTCACTAATATTTAGTATAAATGTTAGTTTCTGAACCTCGATTACGCTTTTCTTGTGAAACTCTTGTCATTGCTGAGTGATGAAAATTTGAATTAACATTTCCAGTTTTATCGCCTTTTTGCTTTCAATTAAGGGAGCGATTTTATATACTGATCATTAGCCAAATATCCGATATTTTAATGTCATTATTGGACATACTGAGACAGTCATTCTTATAATAGCTTCCAAACTCTGATGCGTTTTCTTTAAAATTACTTAATATTAAGACAGATGATTACAATATGGATAACGGATGCTTATTTTTCCCCCGTACTTTATAAATAAAGCGTCAATGGACTCCAGGACTGAAGTTTTTCGATCGGTCGCGATGGATCTGCCAAATAATGATAAATAGACATGACTATCACTAAGTCTCACATTTTGTTTTCAAATTTAGTGTATTTTCACGAAAAGGAGTCACGAAAAAAGGAGTCACGAAAAGAAGTTTGTTTACATTTGTGCAGAAGACCTTCTGCTGTTACGATTGAAAAGCTTAAGATTGATGAGCAATAAGGTTCCACTAAATTGGTAGCCAATTAAGCAATATCATTACTGAATTTTTTTGAGAAAATCTTTATTTACGAAGAAAAGTGATGTTATACTTGTAAGCCAATAGTAAATCAACAACGATTTCCATGGGCCAGAAAAAATCTGCTTCGGCAAGAAAATACCGAGTTTAGAAACTTTGGATAGGGAATATATTAAAGAATTTTTTGCTTTGTTTGAGATCATTAATAATGAATTCATCTTGAAGTGGAAGGTAGTAGACTTCATGACTTCATATTTTACAAGAAAGTAACTGAATCCAATTTAAGGAAGAATCCTTTACGTTATACTGCAAAAACTCAATCAAGTAATGGAATTTTGTTATCACTTCGTACAATGCAATCCCCATCAAATCTTCGATTTCAAAGAAAATGCAGCAATGTAATCAACTCCTTAGATTTGGGATCTTGCACGATACCTTGGTCCGAGGGGGAGGATTCGTACATTATAAGTGCCTTTCAAAAATTCAGGAAGAACAAGAGAATGAAATAAGATATCGATATTCGGATCAATATCAACTTTTGGATGTTTCTACTAAAAGATCCAAAAGCTCATATTGATCCAAATAAAAGGATTAAGAATGTACCATGAGTTATACTGCATTAGAGAGAATATAACTGGAAAGCTAAACGTGATTGTTTTCTCCAAGTATTGTTTATTACGAGTTTTTTACTTTGTAGTCGCATCGTGCGTATCACACAAAGTAAAACATTTTATACCGAAAGACTTTTAAAAGCCCTTCTTTTGAGATTCTTCAATAACTGTTTCTTTTATTGCATCAGCTTTCTGCCTTTTTGTAAATTTTTACTAAAAATACTAATGAAAATAAAAAGGATAAAACTTTAGTGGAGTAAATGGGTTCATCCCTCAAAAACCGGCTCAACTCAGATATTTTTGCATAAAATGTTGTCACAAAAGTTAGTAAGTTATTCGGTAGACTTAATTTTTACACTTGGATTACAAAAATTTTTAATTTAACTATTTTCTAACTGCTTAGGAAGCAAACTCGTTAATTATTTTGTCAATGCTAATTTTTGTACTCTATCATTTTCAACTGAGAGAAAGCTAAACTGGTAAGCCTTTCCTATTCCATAGAGCTTAGCAAATTTTTTAAAATTAATTTGAATTTTGAGAATCATCGTTTGACCTTGACTGCAGTAACAGGAACCGTTAAATGCGTAATGCAACCTTAGCATGTAAGATAACGGTAATGGAAATGTTAATGACACATCCTCTGGAAACTTTCGCATAAAATCAGTTCTTCTGCTTGGATCTCTTTTTCATATGCCTTCATAAGAAATTCGAGATGAATTACTTCATAAGCATAACGAATATTCTCCACATTTGGAAACGATGGCAAAGCTATTCTAATTAAATAAATAATTTCTCAACTGAAAAAGGAAAAATATAAATATCGTTGTCGAAGTTTATTTCATGTTCTTAAATTAAATCTCCAGTATAAAATATCAATTAGGAACAAAGGTCAATATATATAGCTACTCTGCTTCGGGTTTGGAGTCTATCTGAGGGCATAAGACAAGGAGTCCTTTGGTACAAGATATACAGAAAATTCTTCTAAGGATCTCACCAAATGACAAACTAACCTGATCTGGGTTCTAGCACATGTGGGTATTACTGGCAACAAAGCGGCGGACTTGCTTGCAAAATCTGCATCCAATGGCTCCAGTAGACTGGAAAACGCAGTAAGTGTACCGCAGTCTTATTTTAAAAAATCACACTCAATAGCTTTTTACAAGAATGGCAGAAAAGATGGCAAAGAGAAAGCACAGGGAGAAAAACATACAAGTTCTTTCCGAAAGTTACATGCTCAATTAAAACATACAGCGATGGATAAACTCAATTCTACACTGACCATGGTCCCTTCCCACATTATCTTACGAGATTTGGCAAACGAGTCTGAGAATTGTGTGAATGTGGTGCGGTAGGTCATGAAGGTCACTACCTCTTCAAGTGCCCACACACCGATAAATTGCATTTAAAAATACCAAGCAGTGGATACTGGCCGCAATGGGAGGAGAATATCTGCGGCAACAAGCAGGGGAAAATTAAGATAGAGGAGGTGATCAGGCTATTCTCAGCAAGGTATTAAGAAATTACCTCCCTCTCGAGAATTGTATCTTCGCAGCATAATTTAAATAGCACATGGTGGGAGATGCCTTACAAAAGTGGAGTACATTGAGCTGGCAAGTCGCAGGTACCGGAGCAGCAGATTAGTGTAGTTGTCTCTTGCAGTAATATCTAAGTAATTGAACAGTAACAAAGATACTCCCTTGATAGTACTAAAACTTTAATAGCAGTTGCAACTTTTCCAAGCAATTCAGATAAGGAATCAGAAATTTGAGTCACGTAACTCCCTACCTAGCCAGATAGTACTACAACAACTGAAAATCAACAATAGAAAAATAGCTCACTCCGTATAATAGTAACAGGACTGTAAGAGCAAAAACTATGGTAATGTAAGCTTATTACTATCCATTTTGTATGTACTTGTTAAAAATAATGTTGTAAAGCAGTTAAAATGGCATAGAAAATCGAATCAATGTGTAACTGATGTGCACATAACTTTCACGATTATATCTATCTATCACATGTAACTTCTACAAGACAATGTCTGTAATTAACATATTCTATGCTTATACACAGGCCTTGTATGCCCATATAATATTTATATTTTTATACAGAAGAAATAATCTCTTCAGCCAGGATGATTAATAACACCGTAAGACTTTTACAACAAAGTCGGGTCAGTGGTTATCTCAGGCGGCGCTCAGTATAAAATATCGATATATTTTCCTCCTCATTCGGGGGCCTCCTAAGCTTGGGAAAACTGCCCCGTGATAGTTAGGGCCATGGGTATTTCCACTGTCGACCTTTAACCCTTCTGCATTTCTGTTCACTTTCCCGAAAAGAATGTCATCAATTCTTTTTTTGTAAGAACATCTTGTTTGCAGAGTGGGGTCTCTATAAGTAGTGTTTGACTGGGCTTTCTTCTTTTACTTTTCGCTTTTACATGAAATTCCTGTAGAATATTACAGAACCTACAAAATCGCATCTGCCACTTTCCTTCCCCGCCAATTTAGTTCTTTGCAGTTTCGTATAATTATAATCTGTCTTTACTTCTTTTAACTTTCTAAGGAGCACTATGTAGAAGTTGTAGTGTGCTTAATTTAGTTTTAAAATTTTTGCAGTAGAAATACTTTTTTTTTTTAAATTTGGCAGCCGTTTAAATGAAATCTGAATTATTATTTCAACAAAAGCAGTGTCATGTCATTGTTTTCCAAATTACAAAATTCTAATAATTTATACAAACTACAAAATTCTAATAATTTATATCTTGCGGAAGTCAATGTTCTGTTGCTATTACGTTAAATACCTATAATTTGGTTGAGGCTGCATGGAAAAGACATGTAAAACTACTTTCTATTTCAATTATTGTTACTGGGATTACAATTGTTAAAAAGAGTGAGATATATTCATAGGAACAAACCTGTAAATACGAGACTTCAAACCTCCAGCTCTTCGAATCAAATCACTCATGGACATGTTTCGTAATTCAGGATAAGCAAATGCTGTCCAAGACTTCTGTAGTCTATTTATTTCGTTAGCCATTATATTGTGATTAAGAGAAGAAGATCGTGAAGAAGGCCTAGGAAAAAAAAAGAAACTCAGTATGTATGTATAAAACTATGTGCTAAATTAACAACAAAAAAACAAAAGTATTCATTCTTTGTATTTAAATTTTCTCTTTCACAAATATTGTCCACTATTCCTTTGAATTGGTCTATATATCTTAATAACGTGAATCACAATAAACATTGACAGTGAGGGGAAGTTGTATAATTTTTGTCTACCCCTGTCTCACTTTTTCACTTCTGACAGTTATTCAGTGTAGAGTTAGCTACTAGTACTAACAGATTTGTCTTCTGTTACTGATATTGTAAAGGCTCTTTTTATAGCCAGTGTAGATACGTTTGATAATGATATACTTATTCTTCCTGCTTTAAATATAGTATTAAAAATGAGGTAAGCAAAGCTTCTTCTTTTTTTTTTTGGAGGGGGGGGGTACAGCTTTTACAAATGAGGATTTTATCAGATGTTTTTTAATGAGGAAAATGCAAGGTTGCCACTGAGCTGAATTTCCTTCCGTGGTTAGTACTACAGAAACGAAATTTTTGAGGACAATATCAAGCTTCTTTGGTATTTGCGTGTTCATAAACGTAATGGGAAAAGAAAAACAAGAAGAATCTCCTCACAGAATCCTTAATCAAAGCTATCATTACCACTAAATCAGAACCTAAGAATGAAGGAATTTCTCTATTCAAACTGTAAAAAAGGGACGAAAATATTAGTACTCTATCAGCGCTTCAGTAGAACAATTCTTTCAACCACCTTCCAGCAGACATTCAGGATCGGCAGTTATGAAAGATTTCAGATGCTTCTTTTCGAAAAAGAATATTAATGATCAATTTAAAGCTTTTCGTAACGACTCCATTACTCTGCAATTAAGACTTCTGTTGTACGCAATCTAACGACTAACTTCTTGCTCCGAAAAGTAAGTACTGTATCAGTGGCCAAGATACAGTACTTACTTTTCGGAGCAAGAAGGAGCTTCCAATGAAGGGTGTACTTTGAAGGGTACTCGTTGATACAGAAGAAAGAGATTTTCTGCAAACTCATAAAACTGAAAATACTATTACAAAATAGAAATAATTTACAACAGTAAGAAACTTAGAGGTAAAGCACCTTGTGTTTTTCGTAGATATTATAAGATCGGAAGACTGTTATTTGATCAATATGTTTAGCACTTACATGTTAAACGATAGGATTTTTAAGGCAATTAGGACGTCATTTCAGTGCCACCCTTCGAAATTTTGTGTACAGTCAACTTGAACTTTTATTATCATAAGGGTTTTACAATACCATCTGCTGCACATTTCCCAGAGACCAAGAAGCCAAGTCCATTTGAAATACTGATAACATTCGACGAATATTTGGACCCACAACATTTTGGCCAAAAATAGTCAAAAACCAACCGCCAGAAAAGGAGACAGAAGAAACCAACCCTTGATACATATTGCCAGGGATTATTTGATTTTTATTATGAAAGGAGTGGAATTTCAACTCAGATTTTTGTGCTCAAGGCTGAGTTGCTGTTATGAAGGATTTTGAGATCATTGTAATATGTCAGAAATTTGAGAAAAACAACATCGCTATTACGAAAACTCAAGCTGAATCTCAATGGAAAATTTGAAAAGTACAACGTAAGGAATCGAATAGATTTCGTTATTATCATCTGCAAAAAAAAAAAAAAAAAAAAAAAAAAAAAAAATCTGACTGTAAAGAAATTTTATAACAACATATAGCTGTAATATATTCTGTATAGTTTTATGTTATTATTTTATTCAAACGCTAATTACTTTTAAATATTTCTACACTTTCCTATTTATATCATTTCACCTTCAAATAATTAAATCAATTGCAATATAAAAATTTTAGATTGCAATCTAATATCTCACCGAAGAAGTTATACTTAAAAATTTTTAAAAATGAAAACATATATAAAAACTTTTTAAAAAATGTGGGAAGAAACATACAAATATATCGCTTCTGTCATTCAATAAACATAATATCTGTTCTTACCTATCATCAAATTATATCTTTACTGGTGATAAAAATTAAAAGTTAACTTAAAATTAATTTCAAATTACAAGCTCTGTTTCTTTTTCATGCCTTTTTAAATATAAACACATATTAATTACTGTTTGAACAAATTTAAAAAATATAAAATATTTATAGAGATTTGCAATCTATATATGTTATTACAAGATACCATTACATTCATTAAGTTTAAAGACAGGCAGACAGTACCATACCTAAGAAATGCAGTTAGTAATTTTGCAATCCTTCAATTATAAGATGTTCGAAATTTATTTTATTTTTGACATTCATGGTAAAAAGTGCCATGTTTTTGCATAACATTATTGATAAATTATCTTTAAATCAGTGATGTTTATTCAGCTACGTATTACCAAATTATTGAAGGCAAATTAATATCTTATGCACCATCGTCAGTTTATCGCAAACAGAACCCATTAAATGCATCAGAAAATTTCCTTTCAAAGTTTAAAACAATTACCACAGATCTCCAAAACGATAATCTTCTTCTCCTTCTTCTTTTTTTAAAGGTGACTTCTAATTTTTAAAATAATTACTTTTATTAGTTGACAACAGAAGGCATTACATTATTTATTTAGTAGTAAATTTTTTCCTAATATTTTATTTTAAACTATAATAATCTGGTTTGAAAACATGCTAATGAACTATAAAAGGCTTTTACTGTAAAAATTAAAATAAATTTCGTGCTGCTTCTGTTACTCAAACACCATTTAATAATTTGTATGTGAAAGGTTTATTTAGTATATTACCTAATTTTAATTTATTCCTAACACTCTTATTGATTCTTTCGCTTTTGCTCAAAATGCAAAAATCATTGTGGGATGTCATTTTCTAGTTATACATGCTGGGAGGCGTTAAGATGCCTTAATAATAACAAATGAATAAAAAACAGAAAGTTATGCAATAAGAGTAGGGTTTATACTTAGGGTATTAAGTTCTGTAAGCAAACTTAGCGAAGTATAGATGATGTGCGGAAAAAAAAAGGAGTGGATGCGGATTTTATGAAGTACTTACAATGGATTTGCCGAGTGCATGTTAATTCTGTTCCTTTCTTCAACTTTCTGTCCGGTATAGCAAGCCCAGTTTTTGCCTAAGATATCATGGCTCCAACCAGGAAGAATTTTATGACAATAACTTGTCACAATGCCATTAGCGTCTTGCTTATACGCAGAGAACGCAAAATATTTGCGATAATTGATAACAACTTCGAAGCCCTGATTGTAGACGATGGTCCAGTAACCCTTGTTGCCGAATTCGTCGATCGCAACATTTGGGAACAGAAGATTCAGTGTCAAAGTATATGTCACAGGACCTAAAAAGAAGTGAAAATTGTTTAATCATACAGCAAAATTACCGAGAAATCTTTCGTGCAGCATATGGTAATGAACTGTTATTAAACGAAAGAAATAAACTACCGTTAACTTCCACTGGTTACAGCCAAAAACATTGCGGAGAAAACAACGCAAGGCGAAAACGTCGTGGTGCAAAACATCGAGGGAGAAAATAAAGCAAAGAGAAAACATCGTCGTTCTAAAACATCGTCGTACAAAATATCGTCATCAAAAATAAAGCGGCTAAAATAATTCGAAGTTTAAAAACATGGACGTCGAAAATATCGTGGTAAAATAAAGTACCTACATCGCATGACGATAAAAATGCACATATGCGTTTTCAGGTTCTAAAAGTTGTAAATGCATATTCGAATAAAGATTTGGAAGCGCAAGAAATGTTAATGACCCTTTAAGAATAAACGGAAACAAAACAAGATATAATTTTCACCAAAACAATATCAGATTAACAAACGTGAAAGAAAGTAATTTAAATAATTAACTAAGCAATTTTTATTGAGGTAACCTCATGCAGTTATTCATCCTCCTTTTTCTGAACAATTTTAGGTTATATTTTTCATGAAAATTGCGAGTAAAACTTTATAAAAAAATTAATTTATTAATGAACTTTGTAAATTAACTATGTAAATTAAAAATTCTATTAAGTGCTGTAAGTTGCATTAATTTTTTACTCATTTTCAATTTTTAAATGCTTAAGTTTCCTTCTTACTTTTTCAGTAAAAATTTATTAGTTCATTCAAAGATAAGTCAAAATATCCCTCTGTCGTTCTTGCACTCCCAAATCATTACGCGAAAATGCATTTAGAACTTTTAAAACTGAAAAAAGGATGTGTGCGCTATTATCGTCGTTCGATGACTTGTACGTACTTTATTTTTTACCACGATATTTTCGAGAACGATGTTTTTTATATTGTGAAGTTTTTGAACAACTTTATTTTCGATGACGATATTTTATACCACGATATTTTAGAACTACAATGTTTTCTCTTTGCTTTTTTTTTTTCCTCCCTAAATGTTTTGAACCCCAACATTTTCGCCAGCTGTTGTTTTCTCCGCAGCGTTTTCGTCCGCGATGTTTTTGCCGTGATGTTTTCGGCGGATATCCGAAATCTTACAACGCACCAAGACAACCACGCACAGTTCCAGATCATTTGGTCTTCTGTGGAAATGGTCGCCTGAGAAAAGATTACTGTCAGTGATTATCGATTTGCATAATGTGTTTACTCTATTCAAAGTTCTTGGAGTCTTTTAAAGAAAAATACTGAAGAAGAAGTACAGTATATCATATATCAATGCTAATATACTAATAAAGTTACAGATTAATTTCAAAGACAAGTAGTTAATAATGTAACCAGAAAAATTAGTTTGAGGGGGATCTTATTTCTAAATACTGTAAGTAAATAGTATTTTTAAAACTTTAAATTTTACAAAACTTTTATGTTTTTGTACCTTATTTTACAGTTTTTGTACCTTATTTTGCAGTAATCTTAATTTAAGGCTAATCACTTACGTACTTATTTAAGTTAAAACTGCAACCTTAGATACAGCTAACTAACTACTTCGAAATAAACGCGGCATTCAAAATAGTTATGCACTGCCTTTATTTTACCAGAACTTATTGAACTTCAAAAATTACATCGACAGGAAAAAAATTAAACAATTAAATGAATTATTTAAAAAATAAGATTATGAATGAATAATTTAAAATAGCGCTTTCATAATATGAATCAATATATAATATATGATAAATTACACTATTCTGAATTAATAGTTAACTACCGTTTTACATAATAGCTCCGCTGTTATATTAAAAGATAAAAACCTGGGAATTTAACTCATTATTATAATGAAAATATTGTAGTACATAAAATGTTTTAGTTTGTAAGGTATATCCTAATTTTACAACAGTTATTTTTAAGTTTATACGACTTTCCTGTCTCTTCTAGTTTCAGATTACAATTCTTTACCAGAATTAGTTTTTAGAATCGCGTTAAACGCAAATGAGTAGTAGAGAGTATTTAAGTCGAAGTTCCACTGACTTCGAGAGAGAGAATTAGATTTCCTGAATAGCGCGCGTTTGCCTTTTGGCTACGTCTGACTTAGCTGTTACTACGCTCGGCCCTATTACGTACCCTTAATAGTTTCGCTAGCTAATTTAATATTATGGGCCAACTCGTTTAGAAATTATGTTAGCTTCGGCTAAATCTCTTTAGTTAATCATTTGTTAAGTTATTATTTCTTATATTTTTGAATTTAAGCCCAAATGGTGGCTTTGTTGTACGTCCTGAGAAAAAGGGCCATCTGTAAATATTTATTTGGAGCAATAAAGGGTAATTAACCGTTCTTGAGTTTACGTTCTGTTTTTTAACTTAAGCGATTATTTGCTTAGCTGTTCACTAGGTTCCTCAACACTTAGATAAAAGGGAGGAGCCCTATAAGTTCACAATAAAATTAGACATTATGGTGCTTGTCTTAATTATTGTCTTTATCATTGTCTTATTTCACGGTTTCGCTCGTGTTAGATAGCGGTTCTCTTAGAAAATACTTTTGTAAGCATCAATACTGATGTTTATTCATTTTCTGAGAAATACTGGTCAGTTTCAGAAGTAGTCGTCTTCAGGAGCTAGCTGTCGAGAGAAGGTTCACTGTAATTGCGCATATCTATGTTATAACAGCAATAAATATCAATGTTGAAACCTATGTATCCAAATAAACCTAAGTTTCTCTCAAATCAATTTTTAAAGTGAATTCACCAATGCTATAACAGTAATGTCAATTAAACTGCTATAACAGCAGCTGACACTAACTTTTTTGCGATAATCTGTTTTAAGAAAATTACAAAACGCAGAATTTTTCGCATTTCATAAGCAACTGAAACAGTTTAACAGTCCATAAATGTTTAAAAGAAACCCAACAAAAAGCCGTATAATACACAAAATATGTAAATCCAGAAAGGTATACTTTTTATTATATTTGTGAAATATTACCGATAAATTGAATTTCAGAATTAAGTAAAAACACAGTTGCAGCCGAGTGCATTCTGATTGTTATTCCTGTCATTTGGAGCCCATCAATCTTACGCAGCAGTTCCGTTCTGAGAACATATGTGCATGTTTTGACGCGAATTATTGGTAGATTATTTATGTAATCATAAACAAGACTTTCGAATGCTATCTGCCTGAGGTATGGAGAATACATTTGTCTAAAAGGAGAAATTTTTATATGAAGAAAATCTTATAAGGAGAAAACTCTGTTTTATAAGGAGATTAACATTCATACTGCATAAAATTCAATATTTACCCGTTAACACATTATTCTACCATAAAAGAATTAATTTATTATAAATATTTAATGTGGGATATTACCATATAAATACTAACATCAGTTTTATTGATAAAATGCAGAATATAGAAAGAAATGAATCTAGAAATATCATATGATACAAACCTGTAAAGTTTGTACAACCGATCGTGGAATCTCCTTCTCGTTTTCCTTCTTGAAATATCCATTCTCCTCTGATATCTTCGTAAGTACAGTTCGCTGGAGTATCAGAAACAACATAATGAAAGAAAAATAAAAGTATCCAAATAAACCTAAGTTTCACTTTAAAATGCATTTTTAGTTTCTTAAACGAATTCTTTTCAAGTGTGCTTCACTTTGTTGCCAACTCCAGATATCTTTATCAGCGTTTATAAGCTCCGAACGTCTGCAATTTGGTTATCCAGTTATAATCAGATCGTTTGGCATTTATTCGCATATCAGGTCTTTCGGATTCGGCGTAAACAAACTTTCGTTGATAACAGAACCAAGAATAATCTACTTAAACGTATTCAAAGAAAAGTCATGGGATTTTTTTTATATCTGACAGTAAATTTTATCTTGTTTTTATGTCACCGTCTGTAAAATAGCATTTTAATCACCCTCTCACATTCTTCAGTCTGTATGTCTATTTAAAAGAAGGCTGCTTAGTATGAAACTAATTTGTAAAAAAGCAAACTATGCAGCGTTAGAAGACTCGAAAGAAAGAAGGGAGAAAAATTTATATTTCCATACGATCCTAAATAGCCTCATTTATATTCAGATAAAGGCCGAGCTTCGAGATTTTACCATGCATAGCATTTTGCGTTTCAAATAAGTAATCATTCTTACGCTTCTTCTCAATTCATATCTGGGAAAACAGTTATGACGTCACAAAAGAATTAATAATATTCATTGGAACGGCAATGATACTGAAACTGTAAGAGAGTACAGGATTTCCTGGCTACTAATCAAGCGAGAAAAAAAAAAGAAATATTCAAAGAGAGAGCGAACGAAAGGTTAGAAATAGATTGTAATGTGGAGTAAAAATGGCAGTTGAAAGTTAGATTTATGATTCAAATATTAGAATTAAAACATTAAAATTTTGATGTTAGAAATATCTTAGTGGAATCGTTCCAATTTTTGAGCTCTTATGTTACATTACCAGAGTATTTATCTTTCACGTGGAATGGCAATTTAACATTTCCCAGTTGTGCAGATGATGTACTTATTTAATTTATTATCCGTACGTCTTAGGAGCTGCTAGTTCTGACATATATTCTATTTTACATGTAGTCTTTATTTTATCCTTCAAATTAAAGTTATAAAACGATTTTTCTTTTAAGAACTTATTTTTGAATTCGACGAATTTTATTATTTGGACTCGAAATTCGATATGAAACTGAACGAATCCACGCCCCATCTTTTTCACAGCTTAGGTGTTCATTTTAACATTAACTGACTTTTCTAAGTATTCGTGGTCAAAGTAAACCGACAGCAATTGTTTTTCGTGATATCTACAATTCGTACGCATTTGAAAATTTGATTAATTATATGGCATAAGTTAAAATTATGTTAAATATAAGATTTTATTAAAATAAGACAAAAATTAATTTCTGGATCTCGTTAAATATTGTAAAACTATATCAAAATTGTTTCTCTTCATTATATAAAACTTTATTATTATTAGACTAAGTTTATAACATAGGTTCCTTTTCAAATTTAAAATTCAAACGGAAATGTTGTATTTCAAGAAATTAAAGGAGTTCTAATGAAAATGGAGAAATATATGGTATATGGTTGAGAAACAATTCAAAATATTTGTAGGATACGTATGAATTCCTTGCTCTTCATTAACTAAATTAAGGAAAAACTTCATTATTTTAATATATTTAACCAGAGCTGAAAATTTGCACAAAATACTATATTACATTTTATAAATAGTTCGACTTACATCAATAGCGTCTGAGCGAACATTATCAGTCTCTATAACATTTAGGGTTTAAAGTGCGTTCTAGGTCAGCGTTTCTCCGATTTTTCGTGTTCGAAAATATTTTTCATATGATACGAATTTTATAGGTTCAGTAACTATTAACGTCATGATTTTACTTGGTGTAAAATAAGACCCAATCGGACCCGCATGTTTGAATTCAGTAATTTCAAGAGCCTCAGTTAAATGTTTATATTGTTTTAAAAGTAGCTAAACAGTTTTTGAAAAATGATAATAATAATAAAATCTGAAAGCTTTCAGATTTTATATTACGCCCAAACGGGCGTCTTTTTAACATTCTGTGTCTTACCTTTGGTAGAAGTATATTTATGAGTACCCCCCTTTGCGAAAATTAAAGATTTTTGGCGGTACATGGATACCGAGTTTGTGCAATTCTTTGACTTGTTATTTTGGCTTGTGTAGCCGCGATTTTTTGCGCAAAAATCGCCACCATACAAGCCAAAGAATTCCACAAACTCGGTATACATGTACACATCGACCTATTTTCACTTGAAAAAGAAAAACAAAATCGTAGAATTGCACAAACTTGGCATTGCGCACTTCCTTGACTTTATCCATACACACATCGACCTATTTTCAGTTAAAAAAATATGAGAGAATTGCGCAAACTAGGCATTGCGCACTCCCTTGACTTTGTCCGTGTACACATCGAACTATATTCACTTAAAAAGTCAAAGGAGCAACCAACAAAAAATATATAATCTCAATAAACTACATTTTAAATCAAACAATGAAATAACATAAAAAAGGGAATTCATCTTTGCACTACACAAAGGAAATATTCATTTACCTTATTTACGAATTAATACGTCTTTAGTCAAACAAAATTCCTTAACAGCATCTAAAATCTTCCTAAAATTATCTGAACTAGAATCTGTATACTGGCGTCACCACATAAACTCACAAAATAAGAGTCAGAAATATCTTCCCTAGCGCCGTACCGTCTGACCATACTCGTTTCCTTCCTACAAACTTAATAATGGCTACTAAGTTAAACCTTCATTTACACACCAGTCAAGTAATGCTCTTTTCCCCTTTCTTTCCAAATCGTACAGAAACTTCAAATTAATCTTATCACATTCAGCCATTTTACCGTCTAAACCAGAAAACAAGCAATGTACTTCCTAACCAACAAACGTTACAAGCCCTTACAAATTCACCGCAATCATGTAACCGATTACGTCATAATAAAGTTTCCATAACATTCAACTACTCAGGCTACCATAAATAAACCACCACTTCAGAATTTCAGATACACAGTCTCGCGCGCTGGAGATAATTTTTTTCCCCGTACAGTGTTGCCATTCCTCGCTTTGAAATCGTTAGGTTTCTTAATCAAAAACTCATAAATGCTTTATAAAATATGAAATAGATAATAAAACAAATTCCAAATTTAGGCTTCCAGATGCCCAAATTCGGTTGGAGACTTACGTTATTCAAAATTTGATGGCTTTAGGTACCGTTGTTTTATCATAATGCGAGAAACATACATACATTTATGCATATTCTTCATTATTTAATTTCTTGAAATATAATGCAGTGCTCTAATATTTGGTGGCAGCAATTTAAAATCTGTTCGTTTATCAATGCAAAATGCTACTAGCCCATCTGGGCAAATTGTCTCTTTAGGCTTTAAAAAAAAAAAAAAAAAAAAAAAAAAAGAAGCTTATCAAGTTAAATACCAAGGATTTAGAACTTGTCTTTTAAGCTAAATTAATTGTAATTAATTATTTGTTGGCATAAGTAAACAGTTCTTACTGCTGTTGCTTTGTATATTTTAAATAGGAAAAATATGTTCCCCATGATGTACAAATTAATATTTCTGCAATATATCTCCCATTTTCAGGTGGGAGATGAAAATTGTTTTCTTCTGATTGCAATTAAAAGCTGATTTGAATAGAAGTAAATTTAAATTGGGGAGGAAAAAATAGTAATCTTTATAATGACGTAATAAGCTTGACGTAACAAGGGACGTAACAAGTCCGCCCCCCCCACACACACTTGAGAGAAGAATAACGCAGTAATTTGAAAATTAGAACCTGAGATTTTTCTTTACTCTTACCCCATACACACTCTTCTAGAAATAAGAAAAGTACGTGGTTCGGAAAACTCGTGAAGGAATTGAAATTGAAATGTGGGCATTATTTTAAAACGAAATGAGAATTTTCCAAGATTTTGTACAAAAATAATGGTTCCATTCTCACATGCAGCCAGCACGAGGAATAGAATACGGGTATCACTCCTTATTACTTAGTCAAGATAAGAAGTGTATTATCAAGATTTCTTGATTATTTGGATTATGGCAAAGCACGCGAGGGCTATCATCCTGAGGAAAATTGGCTTCCCGTAGAAATTGCTTTGTATTAACTTTACACGAAGACTACGAAACTTCCATGCAGCTAAACCCGTAAAGCAAGAATTGAAGCCGGGTAGAACTACCAATGATCAGTGATTTTACCACTCGGCTCCAGTGGCCGCAACTGAAATAGCAGATACCTTTCAATGTTATATATTGTAAAGACATTGTATTGCCGATGTACACACCGTTTTGTGTCCTCACGGCCACGTAAAAAAGAGAAAGAATGTACTTTTCACAATGTACGTAAATTATTGAACAGAAACAAAAATTAGTTGCTTCAAGAATGTAGGTTTCAATAAGTTAATTTATATAAAGAAGAAAGTCTGTGTGTTTGGTTGTCCTCTAATAACTCAACACTACTGTACCTATCGTCACCAAACTTTCTACAATTCTTTTCTGGGGCTTGAAAAAGTTCGAAGTCCACTTTTTTCCAAAAAAAAGTAGCTAAAATCAGAGATATTAATTAAAAACTCGGGAAGACGATAATTTTCAACCTCATTTTTCCGAGTGGCAACAGTCTCGCAAGCTGGAGATGAATATATGCTTTATTTTGAACGTTGTTGCCACTGCTCGCTTTCAAATCCTAGAGTTTGTTAATAAAAAATTTCTAGGCTTTACGATGAAATAAAAATAGCATTTCCAAACATTTAATACATTATTCCCGATTCGAAAAATTCGTGGGAAGCCATTTAGACTTCGTACGACTTTAATAAGCCGAGAGATTAATTAAAAACTACGAAAACTTTAATTTTCGAGCTCATTTTTTAGAGTGGCAACAGTCTTGCGCGTTGGAGATAAAAATGCTTTATTTCAAAAAGTGTTTCTAATGCTTGCTTTCAAATCGTAGAGTTTGTTAATCAAAAATTTGTAAGTTTTACAAAATCTATATAAGGAAGAATGTTTGTTTTGTTCGTGTTATAATATTCTGATTAATTATGATAAATTTTTTTGCCACATTTAATCGACTAAAATTGAATATAGGTGAAATATTGGATGGAACTGGAGCTTTTACAACAATTCGCTTAGAAAGACGAAAATCATTAAAAACTGCGTTCCGTTGTTGCTGATATAGTGAGAGAGAATTAGTTTATTTTCCCGTTGAAATTTTTTATGTGGGTTCCATATCGCATCAGACTGAAAAGTGTATGACTTTGAATCGTATTTTTCGCACCGTTATTAGAGAAGGATTACAGCGGTATCGTTGTTAGATGCGTTTCTCTTAATATAACTGCCAACGGGTACTTCCGCTAGTAGTTAAATACAGAAGTTACTTCATTATTAAATTTTTTTAAGTCACATGGCAACAATACAGTATAGTGAGCTTTAGAATTGGTTTCAGTCTGTTATAGGTAAGTTTAACAGGTAAGATTATTCTACGAATCACTTTCAAACAATGCGCAGAATCGCTATAAGGTTAATGCTATTTTCGTTGATTACGAACCTAGCTATTTAATGTAGTGTTTACTCTTGCCTAAATGACATGTGATCGGGAGCTCGTGATAAAGCATGACTAGCCCGCAAGCTGATAAAACAGGGCGTCGATAGATTCACAGCTGATCAGGCCATTCGTCTCTTTAAATCATTTTCTTGCCTGAATTTGGCAGAGCATTACCAAAATGAATCCCGTCTACTTTTTAGCGCTACTAAGCTTGTTAATGCCATACGTCCTTGCAGATACACCTGCAAATTGTACGTACGAAGATATTCGAGGAATATGGACGTTCAGCGAGGGCGAAAGAAGTGGAAATAGCGATATCGATTGCTCCAAATTCGATGGTTTGTTTGTATTTATTCTCTCACTCTTTATAGTTTACTTTTTTAAGGTCTTGAACTGAATATTTCAATCATATTCTACTTATTTTAAAAGTTCAAAATGCCTCTATTTTTGCTCTAAAATATATAGGACATTAATATGAAAAATATAAATGAGTTAATGAAGACAGCAATTTAAACTGAAATAATAACTTATAGGTTAGAAATAGAACTTTTTAGTTTATTTTTTTGTATGTCTTGAACTGAATATTTAAAGTATTATATTCTACTTATTCTAAATATTCAATTATAATATTAAGTGCCTCTATTTTTGCTGTAAATTATGTAGCTGTAATTTGCTGTAAATTATGTAATATAAAACATATAAATGAGAAGAGAGTAAACTTAATTGAAATAATAACAATATAAAAATTAAATTTAAAAAAACCCACAAAATGACGCGGGCTAACGTTAATAGGCCTTTTAAGTGAAGTAAAATACCATAAAAAGGGTTTAAATAAGCCTTATATAAATAACAATGGAGATCTTCCAAAATCTTTAACAAAACAAAAAAGGGAGAGAGCGAAAATTATTTGTTTAATATATAGGATATACGCAATGCATAATCAAGTTACTTTTTCAGTAGTTATAAATAATTTAGTCATTTTAACATTAGCAACAAGACCTCATCAGGGATCGAGTGCTAAGACTGCTGAATGCTGGTAGTTCGTCCTGGGTTCGAACCCAGGCGAAGGGGCTGGCTGTATGATTAGATTTTATGGCTTTCCATATGTGTAACATTAATACGAACTAGTTTCTCATAGAAAATCCTTCACGAAGGCATCACTTGTATTTCCACCAAACAATATTTGCAACGCCGCTTGAGGAAAATTTTGTTGCCACCAAATCACGAAACATCGCTATATGTACAACAAAAGGAAATGCCCCTAAATACAGATCTGAAGACTTTCAGTATTAAGCAACGGTTGTCGTTTATTGGAAAAATATTTTGCCACCACCCGAGATGATATTGCTAATGAGAAAAATACAACAGTTGGATCTTATAATAGCTCATTTTATTTTGAAGTTATATGTAAATTATTCAGGTTAAATTTCTCATTTTCAGTTCCATTTCAGTTACAGTTAGGAATATAAAGGGTGTGCCATTAAAAAAATAACTCACCTCCGGTGATTGTCAGACGATATGAACACTATCTTTTTCAAGCAATGCACAAAAAGAATGAATACAAAATAAAATTGGAACATTGCCCTGTTTGGGGGTAGCAAGTCGCCGGACACATAGACAGTCAGGAAAAAGAGAGTAAAAGGCCAAAGAACGTGGCATTGGTATTCAAGGTGTGTTATTTTTTCGTGGGTAATCTTTCCATAATAATGGATTAAAAGAGCTTTGATAATGGATAAAGAGATCATAATACTGAATTAAAAGAACTCTGAAATAAGAAAGTTAAAAGAGTTAAGAATATAATATGTTTCCCCTCTTTTTCACTCTTAAGTCCGGAAAGGACTTAAAAATATGCGCTTGGCAAAAATTAATGGAAATCAGTTTTCAGTTTAAATAGGCGAACGGACATGGGCTATGTTTCTTTCAAGATAGCGGCTGTCTTCTTTTTGTTTAATGACTTTTTAGGTACGAAATAAATAATTTCAAAGCCAACAAGTTAAATTAAATTGAAGAAAGCGTCGCGACGGAATTTCGGCAGAAAGTCTGTTGTTATTAATTGATCAGCTACCTGTCATTATTAGCGCATAATGTTTTGTTGCTATTTAATATTTTATAAATTAATTTGAAAAAAGAAAATACTTCAGGGAAATACGTTACAATTTTTATAAAGATTAGAAAAATGTAAGAAAATTAGAAATTACGCCAAAAATAAAAATGAAGCTTCTGTAATTATTATTCAGCTAACTGAGAGAGGATTTTTTTGGATAAATCTAAGCAGAAAACTCTAATTAATTACTTCCAGTTAACTATAAAGTAAATTAAAATATTTGAAAAGCTAGAAAAGAAGTATTTAAAAATGTCATCTTAAATTATGCTTTGCAAATGAAAACAGAAACTAGAACTGAAACGTTTAAGAAGGAATTGCTATGTCTCACCACATGTAGACTACCTTCTTGACTAACGACCATAAGATAACAACAATAAATAAATAAATAATTCCTAAATATAAATAAAATGTCTGAATGAGTTCAGATTTTAACAGTCGCCCAGAAGGACTCTTTTAAAGTTTAATATGGTTTATAACAAGAGATTATCCATAGAGATGGCCTAGATGGAATAGTGAAACATTTCATAGGATACTAGACGAATATACCTTTAGATTAACATGAGAACACTATACATCTTCTGTACATTTGAAAAATGAAAAATAGATAATGTAATGCTATACAAATATTTAATAATTTTAATTAAATACATCGTGTAATTTAATGCATATTTATTTAAACTAATCAGATAAAAAAATAAAGCAATTTTCTTAAGAACTGCACCTATTGCTTTTAAATAGTTTAGTATGTTAATCAATAAGAGACAGATGAAACTTGAAAGGTAAATGTCTTGCATTTTACCGAATGACAATAGATTCGAGCGAAAAGTCAAGCAATGCACTTACAGTGAGTCAATACAAAATCGTGGTTCGCGACTAGCACTCGTTTTGGGATAAAATACATTTTAGTTAACAGGAACGCAAATTTTAAATGATAAATTTTTCAAAACAGTATTTTTATAGATGGAAGCAGCTGGATTTTGTAATGAAGTATGAATTTAATTTCACAAAATATTTATTCTTGAAATCATTTTGAGGCAAAAATATTTCACCCTTAAACTAAATATTAATTAATGTTACCCATAATGCTTGCTTAGACCATCCTTACCTTTTAAGAGAAGAAAAACACACTTTGGCATTCAACGGATTAACTTTTTACTCACTTTGTATAGACACTGGGTTATAGACCTCTCGAATTCGCGTCGAGCGTGCTGACCACTACACTACGGAAGGTATGTTAAGAAGACGGGAGAAATACCTTATATACTCCCCCTTTTAAAGGGTGACTGGGGGATTAGGGGACCCAGTTGCCAGACCTTGGATCTGGAGAATCATTATCCACCAACCTTTTAGTTCGGGCGCCACTGTAGAGACCTCAGGTATTTTTTGGAAGCAGGAGAAGTGAAAAATGAGCAACGCCTTCGGCCGGGACTCGAATCACGGACCTCTCGAATTCTCGTCGAGCGTGCTACGAAGACATGCTAAGAAGACGGGAGAAATACCTTATAACTTTTGAATTCCGTTTTTGGCAAGGTTTTTTTTTAACCATTTTCTGCTTAAGAATTCTAAATGTTTCTCTTCAAAAGTGAGATTACGGCTGTTTGGGGAGATAGGGAGGTGCTTTTCGCTCTATCTTTAAACCGCTGTTTTATAGTTTAAAATTTATTACAGGAAGCACTAGTACTTCAAATCACGGATCATTCCTCAACAATTAGAGATAAAAGATGCTCGAAAATATATCTGTGAGTTAAACTATTTAGAATTCAAGCCGAAATATTACCTTGTAGAGACATTAGGTATTTTTTTTTTTTTTGGAAGCACGAAAGATGAAAAATAAAAAATCGCCTTCGCCGGGAATCAACCCACGGACCTCTGAAATACCGTCCCAGCATGCAAAACCACTACACCACGAAGGCACGCCAAGAAGGTGGGAAAAATACCTTATAACCTTTCACAGAGTTATACATCATAATTAGGACAGGAAACTTCCTTAAAGTAAGAAATTATGTAGTCAAGTTTTTTCTCAAATTCGCGATCTTGGAATGTTTTCATATAATCAACATCTGAGATTCTCACAATTTGCTCATCTCCGATTAAGTAGCCTGAAATCCTATATTTATATTAATTATTTGGTAGATATGCACGCAAACGATATAACTTTTCATTAATCTGCATAATTAGAGGGAATTTATTATTCTTAGACTGCTCAAATTTTAAAATTAATTTCCAGTGGTTCTTTCCAACTACTAAATTTCACGTTAGTTGAAGTTGCATGTTTTAATATATATTTATGACGTTTCAAAAATTAATGAAAATTTGCGAATAAAAAACACGTTGCGAGTAAATTCAGTTTGGAATTTTAAAATTATAGTGGCCATTAATAAGCATAAATATAAAACTCGTGCTTCTCTTCTTCTGTCTTCAGGAGAGTATCTCTATGACAAAAAAATTAACTTTTTTTTAATTACCAGTTACCTCCTTATAGAAAAAAGTCTTTTCCTTTGATTTTAATTATCTACTTATTGTGATATAGATAAATTTAAATCTTGAAATAACATAGTGGTTTTATAATAAAATAAAATTTTTACACAAGCATAAATTAGGGCAGTTATTTTAAAATTCAGTGGTATGTCAGTACTTTCAATCCATGTAAACTCGTTAGGAAAGCGTAGAAACATATATCGATATATCTGCTGTTAAATAAAAATAAAAATATAGAAATCATATTGAAATAAACAGTTATCTTATCACAGATTTACATAAAGAATATTTCTCATGGATACCTAACTTGATCAAATTATGGAGATCATATCTTAAATCATTGTCAGCTCAGTAGCTACGAACTTGATCACCTAACACATTTTGCTTTTAAAGTAACAACTATACATATTTGCGAGGTCATTCGGTAAGAATTGATAAACCCAGAGTACTGACAATGTGCATGTCTTTTCTGTTAGTTCAATAGCTATTACAAATTCTAAAACTTTTATTGCCGTGGTTATAAATCACAGGAACGTAATTACAATATTATCTCGCATACATTCCCCCTACTATTTTCAGCACATGATTTAGAAACTTTTGATTTACGGTAACAGTGTATGCGTGAACAGAAAAGAATTTTTTGTGAGTGAAAAGAATTGTATTGAAATTGATAAATCCTTTTAAATACATAACAACATTTACATGTCCATAATAACATAATATGTGCTTTTTAATGTTCTCTGTTTATCATTTAAGCCATCACTTCAGAAATAATATATACACTGCATATTTTTCTCCTCCTGATTCTCAAGTAGCAAAATCAGTAGGTAAAGGGAAGGAAATACGTTTGTAAAATACAGTATTTGCCTTCTGTTTATTACTTACGTTAGGTCTAATATACGTATTTTGTCTTTGAAATAGTGTGGTTTAATTTTATGAAATTGAATTAATTTCATGAAAGCGTTTTCTAAAAAATAAAATTTAAGTTTATATACTGTTTGCTACGTATTAATTGTAAACTAGATTTATCTCCTATATATAATCCACCACCTTATATATTAGATTACTTTTCTTAGCATAGTAACACAAATTGTAAACGCGAATTACTTATCATTAGCTAAATACTTTTATTTTGAATATTTTTTCTTTTATAATTAGTGTTTACATGATTTCGTTTACAATATGACAATAAGAAACAATTAAGTTTTAGAACAAAATACAAAGTTCGCTTTAAAAATATGTAATCTATCATTTCCAAGACAAAAGTACTGGACTATTCAGCAGGAGAGACAAAACTATTAAACCATTATAATAAATAATTTTTGAACCATTTTTAGCCTCTCAACAGGAAATCCTTTGATATTGAAAGTATTATTATCTAACTTTCGATAATTTACTAATAACTTTTACTTTTTCGATAATTTGTGAATCAAAGGAACCTCGTAATTTAGCGCTCACTTCTTGAAAAAAATTAATAGACAAGAACTTTCGCCCCATGAATGCCCGCTAACCCAGGAGGTTCAACTTTCTTTCTTTTCGCCATTGACGGAACGGAACAGCTGGCCCACTGGGTTAGGTGCTTTTCAGCCTCTTGGATCCGTCGATGGAATTAAAAATAAATATATGAATAAATATAAATAAGGAGCTTAGTACCGTGCCACGAAACGAGGAACATTGAAATAAGAACTAGAACATGGAAAGAAGGTGCATGGTGGGGACTGCTGAAACTAAGCGGAACACTTTTCACTATTATGGTGCATGTTAGGCATACAGTTATATTAAGGATGTGCTATAATAATCAGGTAGATGTAAAGATGATCAAATACATTACAAATTGTGGAATACATTAAATAAGTTCTGGATAATTCATAATATTAAATATAATTAAAAAAACAGCAAAAACAAACAAAAAAAAATACACAAGACATTAAGTAAATTAATCTATGTACGGAGCGGGTTGCTGACGGCACGTTATCCAAGGAAAGAAGTCAATCCAGGCTGTCAGCAATGCTTTTAGCTATGGCAATGCAATCTCTAATGCGGCTGAGCGCATATTTATTCTTAATTGTGTTCTCATACCATGCCGGTATATTGATTGCAGGTGGTCTTTTTAAATGTGAATAACCTGTGTACGAGCAGTCAAACAGATAGTGATCTGGGTCACCAGTACTGCCATAAATACATTGGTCACTGTCTCTTAGGCGAAATCTGTGAAGATAGGACATATGTGGGCCATGCCCTGTCAGATACTGTGTGAGGTGCGAAGAGCTGCTATTTAAATTGTGGTTAACTTTTGGTAAATTGTGGTTAACTTTTGGTTGGAAATCATATATTCTGCCTGTGGTGCTTGTCTCCCAGTACTTTTGCCACAGGAGGTTCAACTGTAAACTTATTTCCTTTTGTATAATTTTACGTTAATATTTAATTATATAATTATAATTATATTATATTATATTATATTATTATATTATATTATTTACTGAAAGGTATTCACTTAGCTAAGAATGCATAACGTTTCTGATACTGATTAAGATCCGGGCTGCTATGAGGTCATTCAGTGATGTCTGTATATTCTTAACCACTACTGCTTAATAGTTTGAGTTATGCATCATTGCTATCTTGAAACACATATAGCTGATCTACAACTTGTTTCCTAACAGACAGCAGCAAAAATTATTTCACAGCATCTCTATAAACTTCCTTGTTTACAATTCAAGTACGCGAATTAAATTTACAAACCTTTATTAACGGCAAATAATTCACAAACATAATTCCAACAAGACGCTTATTAATGTTAAATACGATGCAGGCTTCATAAAATTTTTCATTCTGTGACCTTGCACTTTTCCAGCAACTGATATATGTTACATTTGAGAATATTACTTTTTCATTTATTTCTGCCCCAGTATTTTTAATTCTGCCCCATTCCAAGGGTTGGTTGGTTTGCCTTGCAAATACGAATAATGTACGAAAGGCTTACTTTGCAGTACATATAAGTCTTCCATTACGACGGCCTATCTTTATGCTCTTGAAGGTACATTTATTCTACACGGTACTCTCGCGTTCGCAACCAATTTTTTTATTTTCTGAGAAAGTCCGATTACACTTGCAAAACATTAATTTTGGTCTTCCCAAATGTCTCTTTGTTTCCATTCATTCAGTTTATTGCGTTCTACTTGAATGATTGAAAGATAAACAAGTAGAAAAATAGCCCATATTATTCCCAACTTCAATTCAGTATAAAGAGAGGGAACTGTGTAAAGAATGTATAATTTCTATGGATTGAGTAGCCATAAATTATGTTGCAGAAGTCTAATTGGCAATTGTTTAGTTATAGGAAAGGATGCCTTTGTCGGAGAGTTTTTCCAGAGAAATGGTTTGGGCTTAAAGTATAAGTATACGATGGGGGAAATATTAATACCCACTTTTTTAAAATGTAATAATAATTCGGTATAGTTTGAAAGGATTCAGCCGGCATGAACCCTTTAGGAGTCAGTTTGGAATTCTGAATACTACAAGAAATATTATCCCGTTCCGTTAGATAGTTAAAATACGATTTGCAATACTGCAGCTTGATAATATTCAAGCAAAATATATGTTGATATCAATAAAATATAAGAGTTATAAAATAACCTTTTGTATATCAACCACTTTTAAGAATCTCTTTTGCAGGTCCCACAGTTCACTCTCAAAAACTTGAACTGCTTTTTCCAAATGTTGCAGTTGATGAGTATGGAAATAAAGGATATTGGACAATAATATATAATCAAGGATTTGAGGTGGTAATCAATTACAGAAAATATTTTGCATTTTCTAAATATACGGACGATTCAGGAAATGTCACCAGTTATTGCGATACTGTATTTCCCGGATGGAGTCATGATGTATTAGGAAAAAACTGGGCTTGCTATAATGCTAAGAAAGTTTCACCAGCAGTAGGACCTAAAGTACATTATGAGAAAACGTAAGTACATGAACCAATATAACTTTTCAGTTATACAATTCTCATTTATGTATTTTTGCATTTCAATGATTTAAAGATTTTCTTATGTGCACATTTCCAGCATATATTCTGTACAATTAACCAATTCAATTACTGGAATGTAGTGGGCTACAGAAAGTACTCTATACTCCCACAATAGAAATGGTTAAAATATTTTTGCGCAATATCTTCGAATTATTCTTCATTTATGAATTGCAGATTTCCTTTATACAGTTACTTAATCGTTATTTTAAACTTATACAGTTAATTTCACTCATTTTTCAGTTATAGTTTATTTCAAGTTCTAAGTCTAGATCAGTAATAAAAATATTAATGTACAATCTAATTTTTCATGCATATATTTTAGTGAAGGGCGAAATAGGTAATAATTAATATTCAGGCAACAATAATTTTAGAGAGTTATTAAATAGTTAATTACATACATCGAAATCGAATCTAACTCAATTGGGAATCTCAATTTTTCTTGTGTCCCAGGTTTTCATTTTGAACGCATCACGTTTGCGTTCTTATTTCCATCTTGCCAACTGCTAACGCTTGTCGCTTGAAACATATTTAAAAGTTCTATTAGTATCGTTTTAGCTTTTAAGAACAGGCATTTATTGTACCCATTTATTTTTGCTGGCTTATTAAAATGTTTGGGTAATGAGGGAAAAAAAGGAGCCATGACTGTGAACTTTTTTATGTATCTACTGCGCTATCAATTGTCTAAAATATTTCATATATATCTATATGTAATATGATCTGAGATAGCTTGAGATTCTTTACTATTAATATAGAATGATGTCTCATTGTACTAACATGGCAAGAGCTAGTGGCGTCATGGATGCATAACGAAAAAGAAAAACGTCAAGATGTAGACGTAAACAAGACATAATTTATTGTTGGACATTCTTGAGATACATATTCTCAAGCACACATCATTATGGATGCGGTATACACCCCACAATTTTATATAACTTATCACAGGTTTACAGAATGAACGATACAGACAGACGAATGTTACATGCTAGCAGAGCGAGAGAAAAGCAGAAAGTAAGTACGCACTTAGAAAGCAGCGAGAGATATAGCATCGGCTCTTTGCTTAAATTTTATCTGTGATTAAATAAACAAAATATCCGCAATACTACATGTTACATAAGATGGCATGTTAGATTAGTTTTGAGATGACTCACTGTAGATTCATTAGGACAAGAAGGGGAAGCAGCCGAATTGAAAAGAGTATGCAAGAATAATGGAGATTTGGGTGGGGGCACCTTACAGATTATAAGCGTCGAACAAATGCCAGATCAACTCAAACTCAAACTAAAATTAGCCACAAGCACAAGTTATAGTCAAACCTAACTTTAAAAGAATAGCACACACATAAAATCGAAATCTGTGATAAAATGATGTATGCTGAAAAAAAAAAAAAAAAACATAAAACACAGATAATGGTTTCAGATTCAAAACAAGGTCAAAATCAAAATCATATGAGAAACATTAAAATAAACAGTATTAAAACAACAGTATAAAACTTTAAAGCAGGATCAAATCAAATAAGAAAAAAAAACCCTGCCTCTTTCAAGAATAGAAACAAATTGCTATTTACCTCTTTCCTTATAACGTGGTCAAGAGGAAAGTCACGGTCGTAAAACACTTACTCGAAATCTGTTAAAAGGCGGGCATTCAGTTAAAGAGTGAAGCACAGATAGAGCACTATTACGATTTGAACATATCGATTTACTTTTGGACTTTAAAAGGTAACTATGTGCGACTTTAGAGTGATCGGTTCTTAAACAGGTTAATAGCAGTTCCTTCTTCCGGCTTCTAGTGATCTCCCAGCACTCTACTTTAGGTTTGGCACTTCTCAACTTATACAAAAACTGATCATCCCAAAATAGTTACCATGTATTTAGGATCCTCTGCATGATAGCTTTTTTTATATCACTCTAAGAGACAGGCTGATTCGACAAAACAGTTGCAAACTTTGCTGTTGTGCTCCGTCCCCCTTTTATATTTATGTGCCCAGGGACCCATCAGTAAAGAATCTAGCATTCAAAACTTTTCAATTTTTTATGTATTCTTAGAATGTGAACTAGTAGAGAATTCAAAATGTCAGAAAAACTATCTAAAGCTTTTAGAGCACTTAATGAGTCAGTGTAACTTATAAACATTTTTCTGGAATTGCTTAGATATGGATGTAAGAACAGAATACACAGCAATCAATTAAACACACTTAAGTACAGAGCATGCGTCGTGTAGTCGTTTGCCCTCAGTATGGTCTCCAATTACAAACGACGCTCCTACATGACCAACTGATATTGAACCGTCTGTATGTATGAGAATAAAAGTGTATTCATCCCTGTGTCCAACAGAAGTTGTCTACATATTGTCTCGTTAGTGTTGCTGTCATCAAGATGACGGAGCGCACCCAGAAGTCAAATTATCACTAACCCCTTCCCGCCCCCCCCCATATTTTCTTCCTCGAACCAGCATGTCACCGAAAACTTCCTTAATTACATGAAAATATTCTATCTATTCATTGTTAAAAATTCATAAAAAATATCGTGAAAATCCAAATAAAAATAATAATAAATAAATAAGTGCAGAATAATTTAAATCTGAAAATGCGAATAACGAGGGTGATATTCAACAAAACCAACGTAAGAGGAATGGTTGCAACCTTCAAACAAGCGAATAGGTTGAATTCCGTTTGGATTACCAGGTTTGAACTATTATCGCCAAATTTACATTTACCGGGTTCTTTACGGAAGTGCTTCGAAACAAATCCACCACTGATCTGAGTGCTTTCTAGAAATCATTTCTACTAAAGGAGCGCACATTTCCTATCAATTTTATTATTATCCGATATGTCATGCACTTAACAAAGCTAACAAAGAATCATAAGTTAGAAAAACTATGAAATCTTTTAACAAATTAGAGAATGAGCTTAACAATACAAATCAAAATTAACAGTCTTCGCAAACATTTAACTACGTTCTTGAAAAAAAGAACTCACAAGAGACTCATTTATAAATTTTAAATATCTTTAGGCTTACTTATTAGACAATATTATCAGAAATGTATTCCAAAAAATAACGTAACATGGGCCAAAAAGAATGAAGCTGGAGTACAACATCTTTTTAAGACTTCTACATAAAGAGGCATAGGTAGAATCCTCTTTCACCAATATATCGTTTGGCGCTTGTTTGTTTCTGACGCTTTCAAGTTTCATTATCCAAAAGTGACATTAAATTATTCTAACATTGCCCGCGTTTTGCTAATGAAACTCATACCGCTTGATTTTTGCAAAAGTGAAGTTTAGCTTTAGAATGAGGTTTAGTCATAATATCAGCAACCATTCGTTCTGTTGAAAGATAAGACAGTTTTATAATTCTTTTGTCATGCAAGCTACGTATATGATGAAACTTTGTGTCAATGTGTTTTGTATCTAATTTAAAAAAAAGAAGAGAAAAAAAAAATTAAAATATCTGTTTGTAAATTAGTAGTCTAAAATAGATTAGTTTTTCAAGTTCCATTTATCTTACATATTTAGATTTGTACTTTTATTTGCAAAAACTCCTAAGAATATGACAAGATTTTAAGGAAGTAGACTACACATTAACAAAATTATTAACCAAGTTCTCAGGTTTCAAGCAAGTTGAACACATTATCAGAATTTAACTGATGTGACTGAATCAATAATGTCTTTAAAAAATTTGCTTTTCCATCATAAGTGACAGTTATGGGTTAAAATTGAGCACATTTATATTTATTGTCCCTAAACAGCTTAGAAGAATAAAAATTTCATTGTTTTGTGCTTAACCCAGTGGGACGCAGATCAGGAAAAGTTACTAGAGTAGGCGTATGGGGTATCACATACACCTACTCTAGCAAGTTGAACACATTATCAGAAGTAGACTACACATTAGCAAAATTATTAACCAAGTTCTCAGGTTTCAAGCAAGTTGAAAACATTATCAGAATTTAACTGATGTGGCTGAATCAATAATGTCTTTAAAAAATTTGCTTTTCCATCATAAGTGACAGCTATGGGTTAAAATTGAGCACAATTATATTTATTGTCCCTAAACGGCTTACAAGAATAAAAATTTCATTGTTTTGTGCTTAACCCAGTGGAACGCGGATCAGGAAAAGTTACTAGAGTAGGCGTATGGGGTATCACATACACCAGTATTTAAAATATGGTGAAAATAGTTTAGTTTTCAAGCTGTTTTTCTTTTATAATACGTGAACAATACTTGGGTTACAAAAAATTAATTTCCAAAATAAGCTTATAGAGAGTTAAAATTAAGATAAATGAAAATAATAGCAAAATAAACATCATACTTCTAAGTTTTATTGCATCTCTAATACACAATGCTTATTTTATATGTTTACATTTTGAACAAAATACATTCATGTGTTCTTGGCACAGAAATTTTTTACACCTTAAACATCGCATTCGTGTTCTTCTATCCTTGGCTCTAGAACATTCATCAGATCTTTTATACTTACCGTATACGCTCGTGTAATCTCCGCACCCCAACTTTACAGATAACATTTATGTTAAAAAAAAAGTGACCCTCACAATGTCCGCACCCAAATGCTAAAGAATTTCTTACTTTAAAAAAAATATATATATATTTTAACATTCCTTTAGTCAATAAAGATCTTTATAAAGAAAGAATATGCATTTGTTTTGTATTTGGTTGGCGCCAGGTTGGAAAGCAGAGACTTTCCTTGCATACTGGTGCAGCTGTTATTCAATCATAACATCAGCGCCAGCAATCCACTCGTCAGACTCAATAATAAGTAAAGGCAGTCCAAAAGGTTTTCACTACACTGGTTTCCAGGAAATACTGTTTAGTAATGAAATTACTTTCCCCCTCATGGAGCATTCGCATACTTCAAGCTTTCAATTTTCATTCATAGTATCATTTGGAATTCGTCGTAGTTAGCAAGTAGCGTGCTTGAAATGG